TTATAATAACAGAGGAAAGACCAGATTAGAGGGACAAATTGTAGGGAGATATCATTCATGTATGTATCCAGACATGATGTCATGTCTGCTGCTGATTAGAAGCTCAGGATAAATTTAATAGTAAAACAAAGGACAGTGTCCCTGATTTGGTATTCTCCCATTACAACACATAGGGATAATTACCTTTTTCAAAGTTGCGTTCCCTCAGAAACTTCTGGATCTGTGGATGACGGTCAGTCACAATGTACTCAACCGCCAAATCGTTTGACGATGATCTAGGCATCTTTTCAGTCCCTCCTTTTCCATGTGGTAACTACCACCTACTTCATTGCTCTGTTGGTGAATAAGAAATAGGGCATTAATAAACTGAAGCATGCATCAACAGCCAGCAGCTAAAAGCCTAACACCCAGAAAGAGAATCACACCTGAACAAGCTGGAAGTCCACAATGGTGTTGCTTCCCAGGTGCATTAGAGTGTAGCTCCCGAACTTGGCTGAGTGCCCTGAAGAAAATATAATACAGGAGGTTTCAAGGCTTTTCAACAGAATTTCAATGGATAAGTTTGATGAATTGTAATATACACCAGAAACTCTGGCACTAGACTGTCCTGTCTATTTCTGCTTACCTGGAGAGTCTGCTCTAATATCTCCTGCAACTGTGACCTTTCCCCCCTGGTGGTGTAGTTGCTGGAAAATCCGCAGCTGATCAGCTGTCCACTTGTGGATAATAGCAGGCTCCTGAAGTTCTCATACTGGAAGGTCTCATACTGGAAGATCTCCAGCTGCATGGCTCTGCATATCTATGAATAAAAAGAAAAACAGGAAACGTTTTTGAAAAAGTCCACTTCTGTCATTTTTCATATGCTATGGATGTTAGATGGTAAAATACCTTTTGTAGTTGGAAGAAGGAAGCACCAGTGAAGTACGTAGCAGCAGATAATTGTAAGTTGCCAACCGGGGTACTTCCGATGACGGGCTGGCTCTCCCATTGTCTGAAGTAACTGCAGTTTGGACAACGCTGTGTGAACGCCACAAAAGTCCCCATTGTTCGTCTTTGGACATCACAGTCTGTCTTACACACCGGACATTTTTCAAACAGCTGTCCGAGGCAGCTTTCAAACACAATGTACTTTGCGTCACTGTGCGTGGATCGTGTCTGAAGTCTAATGTAACAATGTAACAAAATGAACAATACATGTTAGATGTCAACTCTGAAAAACAGTAATACTAATGTACGAAATATACCAAACTACGATACGTCAGATTCTACTAGAGTATCATCAGGGTGGCAACTCGAATCCAGAGTCTCTTCAAATTCAGTCGAAGTCTCTCTTTCTTCCTCCTCCAACTGTAGTCGAGGTCTCTTGCTAGGTCCCAATCCTGGGACCTTTATTGGTGTAGATGCTAAGGTGAATTCTGGGTAGGTTGAAGTTTCAGTGCCAACATTTCTGAAAGACACTGTGGCCTGGATGCCTGTTAATAAAAGGGAAAAGTGCATAAATACTTTGTACATTATATAATACACTAATACATTGTAAAAGGCCAACAACTTGTGTACATCAGACAGATTAATTCATGAACAATTTAGAAAAAAGTACAAACAGCACTGTATTTCCTGAAGTCCACATAACAGTATTTCTGTGATATACAATAATATCAATTAAAGTTGTATTTATAGAGCACATTTAAAAACGTTTTTTGGTCGAGTCAAAGTGCTGTACATGTAATAAAAGCACAATTAAGGTAATGTATCACAAATAAAATAAAGCAGTCAGTATTATAGTCTACCTTTGCTTCTCACGTGTGCCGACTTCAGTGTTCCCCAGGACAACTGTGTAGCAACTGGCACTTTCAATTCCACTGTCTGTGTTCCCCCAGACCGTGTCTCAGCCCTCTGTAGAGTTCCCACAGAAACAGTCTGTGTACGGTCTGTTTGGCATCCGACTGTACTGGAGCGGTGGTGTTTACCGGGGTCCTGCTGTGGTCTACTCTAAGAAAGATACACATAACATTCATACAATTAATTTTCTATCCGATGAAAACAGTCAATTTCCTAAAAGCAACACTTTCTGAGAGACATTCCTAACGAAATTAAGTGCAAATCACAACATATTATTGAAACGTAGTAGTTGTTTTATGTTCGTCAGCTTGCCAGCTTGATTACAATGCTAACCTACGTTTGTTAGTTGTTCAGTGTAATATGCTATACTATGAACAACAGATAGTGGTTCATATTAGGCGATCAAAAACATGTTTACAATTGCAATCCTATACGGGTAGTCTGCTAAAAAAATGTTTTTCCGAGCAAACTCATGTCTAGCTCCGTTGTTTAGCTCGGTAGCATACACCCTAGGAACGCCAGCTATAATGTAATTACGTTCCTCGACTGACCGTACGGTAAATCACCCGGAGTATACTGTCTATGAGTATTTCGTGTGTGAATGCAGACATTCTCCTGCTATGAGATACATGTATGTAAGGCCATCTGCAGACATTGGAATTGATATATGGAAACGCTAGCAACTTAGTTAGCCCAGTCAATGGCTTAGCAGTCCGAAACAAGTTTACACATTTAAACAGTCGTGGTAGATACCTTGTTTGATAAATACACAAATAACAATGCAAACTTACAGGTTGTGTACCCGAATCTTCCCCTGCTCCAAACTGTCCAAACAAACTAGGAATAGCATCGTCCTTCAGTTTCAATTGTTGTGCATATCCGGCATCAAACTGGGCAATGTTTGTGAAGCTTTCGTCTGTGAAATGCCGCGCACACAGGAACGTTCTTCGAACCTCTGAAGGAACAGTGTTAAACAGAAATGTCAACCACTGACTTCGTCGTGGTTCTTCCGTCGGTAGGAAAAATAACGATGGTTTCCCCTCACATTTCAGGAAACAGGTCCTTGGCTTTGGCATGACTGGATCGATTGTGAACTGAACCAGAGCTTCCAACAGTACATGTTAGGCTGGCAGAGGGTGCGGCCAGCGCCGCTGGGTGTGGCCATAGCTCTTCTGGATTGGTCCATTTAGTTCCGGGTACCTGTTTGCGTAATCTAGTACCCGGAAAACTCAAATGGATGGTGACGTTTCACCAACGAGGCGTTTTGGGGAGGTAGTACGTCCACAAAGCAGCTTTGAAAAAATCTTGAAAATCTTGGAGCTGGGCGTGTCTGAGAGCTTGGGGGTTTTTCGCGAGCACGACTAACAACCAATGAATCTCCCGCCCCCGGCACACAAAGCAAAAAACCCCGGGGATTTTATGCGAGCAATATATATATATAAACTCCCCAAACAGGCGAAAACCTACCAGTTTCACCCACTGTCTCTGCCACCTCCCTCCATGCCTGGTTCCTCCGGTTTGTATCCCGGTAAATAGTTCTGGTCGTAAAGAACCGGGTGATTTGCTACCGTAATTTCTCGTTTGGAATATGAGGAAATGAACTGCGGTCTGGCTCTCACAGCTTGCACGCGGTTTGATTGGCTAGCGCTTGAACTGTCAGATTTGCATAAACGGGATTTGATTGGCTGACGCTTCCAGCTCAGCTTCAAAAGTTGAACATTGCTGTATATAGGGTGTACTTTGAGGGTTTTGATTCTGCAGACCGTTTACGTGCATAAAAACCTTCATAGCACACAAGGGGACGGGTAATAACCGGAAAAGCAAGACATGTGACATTTTAATTATCCAGATTTTATTGTATTGTTTATATATAGTATTTTCAATTTTTTAAGTATTTGTATTTTAATGTTGAACCCACTGCTTCTGAAACAAAATAGTTTCCTAAATTGGGATTCATAAATCTGTTACTTGCTGCTGTTAAATACCAACCACCTATGTGCAATATATATAGATGCCGTTAATAACTGTAATATATACCTGGCTGCTAAATCCTAAGAACTGTTACAGGATGTATATTTTTTTAAATTATGCAACTTTTTATTACATCATAACTTAGTACTTTTTTTTAGTGCATGTCACATATTTAACATGAAGCCGTCAGTGGCTCCTTTTAATGCTGTAACTACGCACATGTCCCCTCCCCTCCGTGGGACTAATAAAGGTATTCTGATTATCTATACATTTCCCTTCTTCCTGAGTGCCACAGTGACGCGTCCTAAAACCCGGTAGTAAACTCCTTCCTGTTCCATCAACAAAAAAACAATGCAATTTCTCCATAGGGTTTTGGAAAATAGCTGGAAATAAGGTCTATGGTTTAAACACATCTATGAGACGGATCACATTTTGTTCAGCCGGATAATCTCCACATGTATACCCTACTTTTTAGATATTATCCGGCTGAACAAAACGTGATCAGTCTCTTCAATTTGTCAACCAAATTTTTGTCGAAGGAACCGGAAGTGGTCAAATGCTAACTTACTTCCGGGTTTTATTATCGAACAGTTTTTGGGATAGAAGAACAGTAGAGCTAACAGTGACCTTCAGTAAATGTTAGGGATGCACCGAAAATTATCGGCCGAAAATGGTTCAAAAGGCTCTTTCGGCCGAAAGGGTTTTAGCACCGAAAAAATATCACCGAATGTCAGGGAACAGGGTTACGTTGGTAAACTAACGTGTTGTTGTGATGANGGACTCCGGTACTGCACCTTACTCACGAGACGTTGTAAAAAAAAAGGGTGGGGGGCGAACGCAGTAACCACTCCACCAACGCCACAGTCACCCCTGTCGTGCGGGCCGGATGAGAATGTCTGGCGGGCCGGATGTGGCCCGCGGGCCGCCAGTTGGTGGTCACAATGTTTGAGCACCCTCTATGAAACGTCAAGCTACCCCGCATCACCCCAAAATAAATATCTGGCGCCGCCAATGAGCCTGACTATTTGTGTTGGGGGGGCCCGACTTATTTTTTTCTCCAAAGGGGGGGCCCTGACAGAAAAGGTTTGGTAACCCCTGCTCTAAACGACCATGATGGCTACTACAGAATACCACAACCATCTAGTTCCATGGAAGCGTTTAAAACACATCTTTATGGACTTATTTGTTCCTTTATATTATAAACAAACAAAACATTGACATCAGGGGTATATAGGTACATATACAGAGTATACATTCAATTAGTGAATACAAATAATAAATTATTATATGAATGTTATATTTTTCAGTGTACGTGGGTGAGCTGATGAGGCTGGTTTTTGAAGAAGTCTTTGAGGACCCAACACCGTTTGTGGAGGAGATGAAGAAAATCAACATCCCAAAGGACCTGTCCTCTCAATTTGACAGGCCCTGAAAGGAGGAAGTGGTAGCCCGCCAGGTCTCACGTTTCAGTCGTCTAGGGGCGGTCGGAAGCCAACATACATTTATTTTAGCAAACAAAACATTGACATCAGGGGTACATATACAGAGTATACATTCACTTAGTTGTATCAATATTTGTCTCAAATCATCACCTTTAAAGTTAATAAAAGAGTTGCATCGTCTATCTACTTTATGGATTAACACGGGCTAAAAGTAAAAGGAGACGTTGGCGCGTATCTGGCAGGTGGGCGTGTTCTTGCTCTCCTATTGGTCAAACGCTGTTCCCGCTCCACTATTGGTCAATCGCTGTTACGCACCGCCCAGCCGCTGAATAATGATAATAATGATCAAGATGGCTACTACAGAATCCTCCTTGCGGTAGCCAACCTCCAGTTCCATGGAAGCGTTTAAAACTGCCTTTTCTCACAGTTTAAGTCCCTCTTAGGAGACGGGGGCTCTGCCAGGGATACTACTTTATGGATTAACACGGGCTAAAAGGATATAAAAGTAACTGTGTTGCTTCAACCACTCATTCTAAAGGGAAGCTAAGCTAGCATAGCAACTAGCTTTCTTCTTCTTCTTGACGACCGTCTCCAGGTTTCCCGGTTTGCGTGACTTTACGTGACCCGGTTCCGTTAAAGAGCGTCAAATGGCAGAACCGAGGAAAGTACCGTTCGTCACTATCTCGTCCTTCAACACCTCGCCGGTGGTTCCGACCCCCCAGCAGGAGTCCAGCAAAAAGCGCCGCCGAGAAGATGAGGCCGCCGAGGTGACTTGTGGGAAAGATGGAGGTGGAGGTGGTTCTGTTGTCGGCTCAGGAGATGGAGGTGGAAGTGGAGGAGCTCCGTTCGGGAATGTGACACCGACAGGAGGGGAGGGAGTCACCGGGGAGGTGAAGCCATCTGTGCGGCTGCTCCTCCCGCTGGCTGAGCCCAGTGACCGGGCTTCATCAGAGTTCAACTACGGAGAACTGGTCAACTCATCGCAGCCTCAGACTCAGCCTCAGCCTCAGGTCAGTGGAGGCTCCATTGTGGCTTCAAGGGGGGCTAAACCCGGCAGCACTTGCCCAGGGATGCTGTGAGCAGAGGGGGAAGAAGTACTCAGATCTTGCACTTAAGTAAAAGTAGAAAGTTGAAGATGCAAAGGCTTTATTGTCATATGCACAGCACGAAAAACTGAAGTCCCAAGCTTCTTTAACAATGAAATGTAATTATATATAAGACATAAAACCAATCAAAAATAGTGCAAGAAATAACAGAATATAAATAAAATAGTTCAAGAGAATGTTGCGAAATGCACATAAAATGAGTAGACTAACATGTAATAACACTTTTATAAAATATTTTGTTGTATTATTATAACTGGCTGCTATCTCTTGTTTAGTCTATTCAACTACTGTAATACAGTCTGTAATAACTGTGCAATATATACTTTCACTACTGTTATCTGGCTGCTATCACACTCATTTATTATATTTGACAAATAGTACTCTGATTCTGAAGTACACATTTCACAGGAAGTATTAGCAATATAAAAGTAATTAAACATATCCATTTAGTGAAGTAGCATTGCAAATATTGCACATATCTTTTTTTATAACAGAACAGTGGTGTTACAGTCTGGCAGATAGTGATAACAATAATACATTTAAAAAAGTAAACATTGCGAATAAAGTTTATTGCACTCCCAGATGCATTTAGATGTCACACTCTTTATATATTTACTGTTAAGTGTGCAAGAGTGCTTTTGATAAGGCAGTCATCCTTTTTGTGGAGATGTACAGTGCAGAAAAAGGAACAAATAAAATATTTATATTGCACATTAAACTGTTATTTCACAGAGTAGTAGATGGTGACAATAATAAATTGCCAAAAAGTGTATATTGCACACTGAGATATATTGAGATGTGCAGGGACCCGGTGAATAACTGTTATTATCATGGTCCGTATGTATTTATTGTGAACGTTGGACATGTTCATTTGCGAATAAGCACTTTAAAAAGGGAAACGTAAAATGCCCGTTACCCCCATTTCATCCCTTTGCTTATGTCTTTTTTCTCCTCAGGTAAAGCCTCAAGGTTCAAAGATCCCTAAAGGCCTCGCACCCCCGCTGGACCCCAGCGACCCGTTTGCTGACGACAACAGAGAGAGACGAGAAGTGGAGGCGATGGCCAAGAAGTTTGAGAACAAATACGTGAGTGATGGAGCCTCAGTGGTGCAGGAACGAGTCCTGAAACCTGTTGGGGAATAATTTGCTTAAGTATTCAACCTTTGACACAGTTTATCGTTTTCTCCTCTCACTGTCTCCTTTCCCGTCGCATAGGTCTACAGCCTTGGGTATTGCTGCTCTCTCTCTTAAGGAGGAGCAGCTTGGGCGCATTGTTGTTGCCAGTCTATGACCGAGCACAAGCCGCCATGAGGTAGTTTTACTGTTCAGGGACGAAGGTTCCCCGACGCACATTATTTTCTATGGACGACAGCTCTAGTTAGATTCAGGGTCCATATTTGTTTAGTCTCGCTGATAAAGAATGTTGATTATTACACTCCGAACTAGTTTAAACCTCGAGCTGCAGAAAGAGTTCTTCAGAATTGATTGTGGCATCTCATCCGTATGGTCAACTCGTGACTTGTCTTGTGAATTCTCCGGCCAAAGCTCCAAGTAAACCGTCAGTGTTTGCCATCAAAGCTCTAGCTCTCCTCGTGTCTCTCTGAGTCCTGACTCCAATTGCTTCAGAAGTTTCCCCCAAAGAACCCAGAAACAAGTTAGCCCAGTTTGAACTGTGTGGATGACAAACCAAGGAATGTCTAATATGTCCTTGTAAATGTTTTCTTTAAATATTATCCCGCTGTTTGCAGGGTGGTGTCCCAAAGAAGAAGAAGAAAGACCGGATGCAGGATCTCATCGACATCGGCTTTGGATACGATGACACTGACCCCTTCATCGACAACTCAGAGGCTGTGAGTTCACTCAAACACTGTTTTATGAGCGACAAAATAAGCAAACCAAACTAAGTTGTTAAAAAAAATTCGGAGGTAAAAGACGTTATTGTCCCAAAGCGGATAATTGTTTTACTCATTGGGGAAATCGCAGACGTCAGAAAACAAAGAAAAACGTTTCAAATCTTCGAGAAAAGCTTTTTTTCCTCTGAGTTAAGATTCAATGTAGAAACAGTCTTCTTAAAATGCGATTTGGGAATTGAATTGAGATGATTCTGAAATGAGAATAAAGTACTTAAGTATATTTGTAATCCAACACTTGAGTATTTTTACAATCTAGTATTACTTTTAGTTTAGTTTTAACATTTCTTTTGGCATTGGTTTAAAGATCATACCGTTGAGTATACGGTCGAATGGACTTTGGGAAATGGTTGTTATTCCAAGCAGTGTTAAAACGCAGGCGCAGTAGAAGAATAAGACTAACAGTAATCATGTTTTCCTCCCCTCCTCAGTATGATGAGCTGGTGCCGGCCTCTTTAACCACGAAACACGGAGGTTTCTACATCAACACCGGCACGCTGCAGTTCAGAGCGGCTTCAGACTCGGAGGGTGAAAACGGCGGCACAGAAGATAACCGCTTCAAGGTACGTGCATTGAGTCAAGTATACACATATGTCAGTTTCCTGATGGGGTTCTTACTGTACCTAAAGTGACTGTTAGACCATAAAACCACACTGTCTGCACCTGTTTGCAGAAGATGAAAGACGGCGAGGAGCGGGTGATAAAGAAGCGTCGGAAAAAGCAAGATGGTGGTATTCTGGAGGAAAAGAAACCCAGAAAGAATAAAGTACCAAAGGCTGGGTGAGGTTTCTTCAGTGTTTTCATATTAGGCTCTGAGGCATTCACATAATATCTAAACTTCCCGTCACCACCGCTAAGCTAAAGGCGGCTAATGTTGGGCTATAAAGGAACTACGGCATGGTCACATGACTTCATGTCAACACCAAAACCAAAAAACAATAAAAAAACAAACAAACATGACTTTAAGGCTGGGCTAAACAAAGGACTCATTTCTGGGTTTTATGACTTATTCCTGCACCACCACTCCATTAAACAATGGTCCATTAAACGTCTCTCTTTGTGTCCCCTGTCCCCGGCAGAGTTTCCCTGAACGTGCACCGCCCGGAGAAGAAGAAGAGGAAGAAGCTGATGAAGGACTCCATACACCTGGCCAACATGCTGCGCCGCTTCACCCGGGAGAAGGAGGAGATGAGGAAGAAGAACTTCACCGCCCACGCGCTGGCTCGAGCCAACGCCAAAGCTCCCGTCGTCGTCGCCGTCGCCGCCGGCAACAACAGCACCGCGCTGATCAACACCCAGGCTAAAGTCTCCGGGGCGGCCGATTGCAACATTACAGACCTGACCTCCGACCCCGCCATGATGTCAATGCTCGGATCGACCAATAACGACATCCTGCAGGACATGATGGGCGAACTGGACTTCGAGATGCTGGACTCCCCGCAGCATAGCCCCCTGCAGGGGGCGGAGAACGGGGCCTTCGGGCTCAAAACCGCAGGGGGCAGGGGGGGTCAGGGGGTCATGGCGCCCCCCCCTCTGCCCAGCGGACTCTCAGCACCGCTCACTAAACGCATCGAGGACCTCAGAGCGGTACGGGAGTTAATATTACACTGTGTTAGATCTGCAATTAAGAATTATGTTAATTTATTTTTTGTGATCACATTTTTATTGAGATTATTTAACATGTACAACCAAAAAGCACAATTTTTTTTTATTTATCAAATAACGAAAAGTATATAAGATAAAGAAAAAGAAAAATAATTATGTTCATTTTTTACTTTTCTGCAGATTATTTAGACTAGTCCTTTTGAGAAAAAAAAATACATTTAACACGATCAAGGCTGAAACTTAAAATGAATAAAATCTTGTCTGGACATTATATTCGTTTTGTCCACATTATAATAATAAATATATTAAATAATAATATTAGTAATAATCGTGCAGCCTAACCCCGGGATTCCACCGGGTCCGTCTGCGCCGCGGATTTGTTCCGACCTCTTACAGCGTCAAACCCCACCGGGCGCGTTTCAGAAGCGGAGCGTCTTGCCTGCCGGCTCGCAGTTTTTGTTGATTTGGGCATATTTCCTGGACAGGCTACTTTGTGCAGACAAAGTTAATAATAATTGTAATAGTTCAGTTATAAACGACATGAATCAAAGATGTGTTTCATCAAATTCATTCATCATCATAATTATTCTATATATATATATATAATGTACACAGAGCCTGTAAACCGGAGGAGAACGCTGGCCTTTCTCCTCCTACTTGAAAGACTACGGATGGATAGGGTCTGCAAAATGTGTTTATTTTGGGGATGGGCCGGATGCTCTGACCGGTCCACTTCCTGCCCGGCGCTATGCAACGCCTTGCGTCGTGTGAAAATAGACTTGAATCCTATCTTGATCCCAGCGCCGAGACGCTTCTGGGATGCTTCTGAGCCGTAACGTGGTGGAATAGCACCCATTGACTAGAGTGGCCGCGATCTTTGCGAACGCCG